AGAGGCACGTCAACATCTTATTGAACGAGACAAAAAGACTCCCACCTTTGTTTTCTCGACACAAAGTAGAGGGTTTCTCATGAGGAGAACTCTCTACGACCCAGGGAATGATAATCAAAGAAATGTCATCATTCTCTCGGTCAATCAGCTTCAAATTTCCATCCAAATGAAGCCACAAAAAAATGGCAAAATTAGTACAACCTCGTATATTGTAGGATTTTGGAGCTAAGGTTTAAAGGGAAAATCGCTTGGATTCAGCGGGGTAGTCCAGCAAAATAGATCCCTAACCTATCGGCTAGCCCTAGATTCATTAAAATTCAAACTTAGGGGACTCTAGGAATGCAAATTTACAAGGGATTTAGAAATTTCCCCTATGTGATGATTGAAGAAGTGTGCTCTCGGCTTGTTCCTTGCTCCAACCTTGCTCTGGGAAGATGACTATGTTCCCTTCTCCGAAGAAGGTAAAAACTCTCCTCTTTCAAAGTAGAGATGAGTATCTCCTTCAAACAACTGCTCTCAAGGCCTTCAAACCTTCTTCATGCTTTCTTCCAGGAATTAGTGAGGTCAAGATGGAGAAGCAAGTGGAGAAGTGATTTAATGGAGGAAAAAAAAGTTGGATGAAGAAAAAGAAATTCTCTCCTTGACTTGAACTCTCCTCTCCATAAGTTTTTTCCTCTTCTCCTCTTCTCAAGGCTCCTTAGTTGTTCAAAAATGCAGAAGTTCTCTAGAGAAGAACGATCCAAAAGAACATCTGGATACCTAAAGTTCAATCATCTCATATTGTAACAAAAATAAGAGAATACAAGATGCTCTCCATTTAGATCCAATGAAATATTTTTTTTGATATTTTCCTAAAAAATCATAACAAATATATAATAACAAAAAACATTTGTGACAAATACAACAAATGTGACATATTTGGATATTCCCAATAAATTCAAAAGTACCACTTGGTCTGAGTCATAAAAAGGACCCTTGATCATAGAGATTTTAAGAAGAATGGCTTAAATCATAAGATTAATTGTTAAGATTGATAAAGCAAAGCTTTTAGAACTAATAGAGAACATTTATGGGCTTATGTTGATCTAGAAATTACTAGCATGGCCAATTAAGCTCAAATATGATTAGATGGAACTTCTGAGTTGCTCTGAGCTAGCTTACTTGAGTGCTAATTAAGCTCAAATATGCTAAGGTCAAGGCCTACATATTTTAGTGCTAATTTGGCTAAGTTTTGGGCTTAATCATATTTGGGAAAGTTTATTGGTTCAAGGGTCCTTAAGATGGTCATATTAGGTTGATGGTTAATTGTTTTGACAATGGTCATATCTTACTTGATCAACACCTGTTAGTTTATGGATTGGATCCACTTACCAAATGCAATTAGAATCATTAGTTCATCTAATTAGTCATTAGAGAAGTGGATTTCAATGGGTCATTTAGCTAAGGTTTTAGCAATGGGATGGGTTAGACTGAACTTATTTTTATTTGAAATTGTGTGGTTAACCGTCTAATTCAAGTTGTTTTGGAAGGACCTAAGGATGCTAGGTTCACTTATGACTAAGGTCTTGGAAAATTAACTAATAGATTGAGCTAATAAAAAACCTCAAGTTCCTCAAGATTAGTTTTACTCTATATACTTTACTTAAACTTGATCTAATTAGATATGAGTCCATATTGGTCTAATAAGACTAATAGGGCTACTTAGATCTCTAGTCAACTAAAGTATAGCTTAGAGTATCGTACGTTAAGGACAATAAGATTAATTGTTTTAGCTAAAGGTTTATAGATAGGTTAACCTAAGGCTAGATTCAGGAAAATTAAAGGAAATATAGTCCGAGAACTTATTTTAACCATTAAAATGATAAAATTTCCTAAGAAAAATTAAGAATTTTAAGGTCCAAGCTAAAGCATTTTGGGTGCCTTGATTGGGCTAGTTGTAAGCAGCTTTAGTTGGGCTAAAATAAAAATTAAAATAAGTAAAATGGATCCTTGGGTTAGTTACTTATCATAGGCTAAGCTTAAATTCATATAAAATATTTTTATCTAGTAAGTAGTCTTGAGTCACTAAGAAAGTTCATAGATATGTAAGGCCACTTAGAGGGCATAAGTGAACTCACTAGGTTAATTTGAGCCTTAATAGGTTAATTTGAGTGTGTTATTACTATACCAGGCTTTTTTATGATCAACTTAAAACATGTATGTTAATATCAAGATAAAGCACTATTATTACATTTCTATATAGACATTATGTCTAATCAAACAAGTCAGACATAGACTAAAACCCTATTAAATCAATCTTGATTAGGAATTTTAATGATGGTAACATTAAGGTCTACTAAGGATTAAAAACAATCATAAGTTAAGAGGATTAGGATTCTTTTTAATGAAGTATAACAAACTAAAACATATTAAATAAATTTAAGGAAAAATTATAACTTCTTAAAGCCATATTTAGCTAGATCAAGAGTCATAGGTGTAATATAGTGAGCTTTCGTCTTCTAAGATTAAGGAAGTGTAAGGGATATAAGTGTCCACTTAATAAAGCTTAAGAAGGTCTTAGTGGGTCTATTAAGGAAAATGACAGAGAAGCAAAGTAGGCTAAGCCTACAAAAATTAGAATGTTATTAACATCATTACAAAAAAGACATGAATATCTTGAACAACTCAATAATATCCTTGCACCTTTCTCAAATTACACTTTCTTGTAATATTTTATAAGAAAATGCATGTTGTAGGCACTAATAGTGTCCAAGAAAAAGAAAAGATATTGCAACACTTCTGCCACACAAAGCACAACCTGTTTAATTATTCTCAGGATGGCTGGATATAAGACTTCACTAATCTAGTGCATAAAATAAACTCCATGGTAGTAGTTTAAGAGATACGTCATTTTTATGAGAGATTTTTGATAATTCCCATAAAGTCTAAATTAGGGATCTTCTGCATTTTAGGCTTTATGTTATGTATATTTTAGTCTAGTTCTATAACCCTAAAACTTGTTATTAAAAGTAGGGATGGGGTAGTATGTACTCTTAATTTTTTGGTTCTTACTATAATTGATATTGTAACACTATTAACCATGTTAGCATATACAGAATTAGTGTTTCTATATTATTTATATTATCGATTATCATCAAATAAAATTTATATCCAAAATATCTTTAATAATTTAATATTAAAATACAATAATGCTATTAATTTTTTTCTATAAGTGATATAAATTAATGTTAATTATTTTATCTTATACATTGCTCATTCATCTACTTGTTTATATTTTTTAATAGTGTTATGACATTTTTATATACTATATTAACAAGTTATACACTTAAAAAATTACTCTTATTATACAAATGCACAAATTTAGAGAGAACTTGTATTTACCTATTCTTGTTTATAGAATTAAAATATATTTATCATCATTAAAAGGAGAAGGTTATTGAACACATGAACTTAAGTTTCAAAATATTATTTTTTATCATAAGATAATTTTGTATGAGCAAACAAGGTTTATCTAAATTTAGTGTATGAGTGAGCTAAATTACTTAAAATCAAGCATGAATTTGCAACTCACGATTAAAAATATATTGAAATGTACGTATGACCTGAGTGAAGTTTGTTTCTTAATTAGCTTAAGTAAGATCAATAGCTATCTTAATGTCAAGCTTCAAGTACAAAAATATTTGACTTATTTTTTAGTCATGAATTATGAAAATTTAAGCATGAGAGATACTAAGATGATTTACAAATAATTATAACTAAAACTTAATAAAAATGCAAAGTAAGCATAATAAAAAATGTCTAAAACTAATCATATTGGCCAATCAAAAGTCACACCATATGATCAAATTTGATCCAAGTTAAAATTAAGTTGAACAACATGATTAGTTAAATAGTTATTGGATTAGTTAAAATTAATATGAAGATACACCACATGGTAGGAATCATACTATATGATTTGCTCACATTATAATGTATTACACCACATGGTAGGAATCATACTATATGATTTGCACTACATTATAATGTATAATAAATATATAATCAATTTACAATGCTTATATATTTTAAATTTTAAATAAAAAATATTATATGGTGCTTACTATTGTATAATTATCTTTCTAATTCAATTTAATGAACCACATTTTAAATCATTCAATGTTTATGATTATATTTAAAAGTAATTAAAACATAATATCTAGGATGTATAGTATGACCCACCAATAATTTTTGTTTTAATTTTGAATTAACATAAATTAAGTATTTGAATATCAAGAGCAAATGATTATTTATAGCATAATATCATTAATGTCTCTTTTAACTTCATGCATATTCTTACACTTGAAAACCCAAAGAGAGAGAATTAAAGAGAGAACTACATCTATACCAAATCATCTTCCTCTTACAAACCTTACATCCTTAGTTCAAATATTTCCTTGGAGAACTTTATCTACTATTTTGGAGAGAGTTTATAGATCTCAAAATATGCACTAACAAAGTTGCTTCCTTCAAAGAAAAGTGGCAGATTTTGTCTCAAAGAGAGCATATATCACCAAGCAAGTTGTGCCACAATGAAACCCTTTCCCTTATTCCACATACAACATATCAATTTGACACACCTTCACACTTAAATATTTTTATTATAAATTTAGATTAAAATTTTGAAATGATATTGTAACTAATTTCTCAATATTTAATCTTTATTTTAAGGCTATCAAATTAAACTCAAAAGTAATTATCCAAATCAAAATAAATTTTTTTATAAAAATCACAATATCACCAATGAAACTGTCATTTTTGGCTATTTTTATATGGAAGTAATTTTGAGTTTAAATCATATCAGCTAGAGAATCGATTGCAATCAAACTGGTTGGACCGGCCAATCTCGTCCCATTTTTGAACAAACACAATAGCTTTAAAAAGAGTATTTTTACGCCTGCCGGTTCGTGAGAATCATCAAGTAATTCTTACAAAACACTGATGCTTCACTTGTATTCAAAAGAAATCTCAGATAATCTGTCATGGTAGTGTTGAATGAAACATTAAAATAATGAGTAAAGTGTCAAAATAGTTCCCGACTATTTACTTGGGGTTGTTTTAATCCCAAAATACAGAAGTGAAAAATAATCCCGACTATTTTAAATTGAGCTCTAATAATCCTCCATGAGATTTTTGCTGCCCCAAATTAAAAAAATCGGAAGACTATTTTGACACTTTACTCATAAAATAATATTGCATTCATATCCTTGGGCACCATCCTTAGAATAATATACTGTTTACAGATGAAAAAGAAGCTTACTTTTTCACTCGGAATACAACATTATCATGACCCCCAAAAGTTTGAGGAAGCTATTTTATCAGATTTAAGAAACGGAAATGATTGTTAACTGAAACTGAATTTTTACAATCATTGCCAAGCATTGGCTCAAAGCTAATTGAAGTAGCTACTGCTGCTAATAAACGTGCATAGTTGCTATACTCTTACAGGGAATGCGACTGCTGCCTCATTAGCTCTAATGGATCTCTTATTCATTCCAGTAAAATTTACAATCATGTCTTGCAGCATATTTATAATAGAGTGATCCTTTCTTAGGCATTCTTCAGCCTCTTCTTAGAAACCAACAGATATCGTCTAAGAGCAAGCATTGTGATCCAAGTAAACCTCGAAATCTTTTCTTTGATCATCAATAACAAAGCTGAACTCAAGACAGTCTTCAGAATTTGAGCTTGCAGGCCTTTGAAGAAGCCTGGAATACCTTCTTCTCTCCATATAGATGACAAACCACCGATTATTGTTTTGTGTGACTTTAATTTGGGTTCATTAGAGTCGTCTTCATGATCAGAAGCTTGGATCATAACCTTGCATCTGTTCAAAATATTTAATATTGCTGTGAATTGTGACAAAATTAATAATACCTGAACAGGAAATGGAGCTTGAATTTGACACAGGCAGGGGTATTAATAAGATGTTTAGATCTGATACCTGATCAATGGATAGGTTATGATGGTTGCCACAGTTTTGGATATGGCACCCAATAGAAAAGCCGAAAAAGCAGAAAGAGATTCTGAAGAGGAGCCTGCAGAACCTGACGCTGATTGCTTACTTTGCTGCCGCTTTAAAAATACTTGTTTAAGTTGGTCGAATACGGTGTACTGTAAACAAATTCAGAAAACTTACAATGCTGAAGTCCACAAGCTCTGTAAAAATTCTATATGAATAAATTTATAAATTAGTAAAATTCAGTCACTATGCACACATGAAGACACACCGTTGATAATTCTATCCAAGAAACACAAGGTTCCTTATGTGCAAAATTATGTTTGTCTGTTAACAAACTTGAGCAATGTGTGCCGAATTGATTTCTAAAATGAACAACTTTGACAACAGTTGAGCTGTGGCTCAATCTTTCTAGAGTAACAGACACAGCATGGACAATGTGCTCCCCAACAACTAGATATGCTAGCTTCATCATGAATCTTATATCTTCTTGTGTGATATGATTCTATTAATTGTAGACTCTTACTAAAAAGGTAAGACGTAATAAAAATAGAGAATTTTTTTTTAAGTAATAAAAAAATAATAACGTAAAATTGGTACCTATCTGTTCATGTTTTAAGACGTTCAACTGATATCGTGGGGTAATTGGATGTACTTAAGCAGATAAAAACTCAATTGTTTCACATGGTGGCTTCTAATGGATGGAGATCCAGCCAGATTAACCAACTCTTACTTGAGGATGGCACCTCCACCAATGACCAAGATGAGTTGCAAGGTGCGATCACTCAATTTGTCAATTCTAAATGCCGAAAAGCTGAAGTCTCCAGAACTGGCCTGTTTTTGGGGACATTCCTAACATCACTGAGAGCAGCTGTAGTCTCTTAGCGAGCCTGCTCTGCTATCAAGCTCATCTCTCTGGAATCACCACATGACCCTCCTACAAACATCACATCTACTCTTCTGGAAACTCTCACCCGCAACCAGCTATATCCTACTCTGGAGTACTGGGATGCTAGCCAACCTCCTCGGCTATCAAGCTCATTTTCCCTTTCAAGCATATGGAAAAAACTGCCCAGTTTTTCATCGTTAATGTGATTCTAGCTGTTGTAAATCATTAAAAAATAATTCATTTTATACGATAAATGACTTGTTTGAATGAGATGAAGATTGTAAGAAAAGCATTTATATAAAACACGCTGAATTTTTTATGTCCGAATTTACATCTAAAATAAACCTACAAAATGCATGTCTTTGTATCAGTTAAGTGAACAATAACTTGGGCTTATATGTGGTACACTGATATCAAATCGATGCCTAACAAGATGGTTTAAACTTACAGAAAGGCACATAAATTAATAATTTTTCTTCATTGTATACTTTATTATACTTAAACTAATTAGAAAGATAGTTCTTATATGGTGGTTGGATGGAAACTAAGCAGAAAAGAAAAGAAACGAGAAATTAATGAAAGATTAAGAGAATATCTTAAAGAGAGAAGTGTCGATTTTTCAGAATAATGTGAAATTGTATTATTGATATGAATTTTAAAATAGGAAATATAAGAAAAAAAAACATGAAAGAAAAAATATAACACATAATATCTCCAATTTATCAATTCATAATAATATTTGGAGAGAAAATAAATAACATAAAATAGAAAAAACTAAAACAGGAAAGAGAATAGATCAAATTCAAGAAAATAAAGTTATATTAGGAAATAAATTTAATCCTCATAACTTCTAATAAGAATAGATTATTTTATAATATAACTTCTAAGACTCCCTCTCAAGTTGAAATACGGTTGAAAAACATATTCAACTTGGATTTGAAAACATCAGTGGGTGACAAGTTCTTGTGAGTTAGAATAAAGTCTTCATCCCGTATTGCGGTTGTCTTTGACCGTAATTTCTGCAGTGTTTGTAGGTAGGCAAAAGACTCTTACAGGTAATGCTTCAAGAAAATTTGCAGGTCAAGTAGACAATCTGTAGAAAAAAATTGATTTCTAGTTGACTGCAATCGTCATCAGCTGTAGTTTTTACAGTGCTTGTAAGTGGCAGAATGCTCCTACAGGTAATGTTGCAGAGAAGTTTACAGGGAAGTAGACAACATACAAAAAAAAACTACAAGGTATAACCTGCAAAGAAAAAAAGAAAAAACTCCGGAGGAGAGTCTGCTACAGGAAAGATTCCGGATGAAGGTCTGATACAGAAAAGGCTCCGGATGAGGGCCTGCTGCAGGAAAGGCTCCGGATGAGAGCCTGCTGCAGGAAAGGCTCCGTATGAGGGCCTTCTGCAGGAAAGGGTTCTAGTGGCAAAGTAAAAAACAGAGGAACTGCATAGAGTTTTTCTGTAACAGGGAAGAAACCGACGAAGAAGGGAATGTAAGCCGGTTGCTGAGATTTCATTCAAGGATACATCCAGTCCTGCCTCTGTAATAACCATCCTCAAGTCGTTTTGAAAACCAACCAAAGATGAACTCCTCTTTAACAAGCTTCCTTTCGTTTCCACAATCCATGGATGTGAAATGGCAGAGGACTCCACATAGGTGGCTGCTAGAATTCACGACCTTTAGGAATTTGCAAGCGGTAGGAATTTGCAACTTACAGGAAGATGCTGGTAAGGTCTACAGGGAAGTTTTCCAACCGTTAGAGAGATATTCGATACTTAGGGACCAACGAGGAGAGATCTGACAATCTTGGGAGGAGGTCTAGCTAGCAGGAGTAGGTCTCACTGTCCGTAGGTATGTAGGGAAAGGTTTTCCTCTGCCTGAAATCCGCAGAGAAAGTTCCGGCGAAGTGAAAGACTGCAGGAGAAATTGTCGGCGGTCCTTGAAAGAGATCGGCAGAGAGGTCCTGCGACTAGAAAATCCAGCAGGGAAACGACAGGGTAAAGAGATCCTCCTTTCTTATTTTCAATGGAAAGAGGAACTAAATCCGACAGGCAAACTAGGATTTCCACTAGAGAGAGAGACTCCCGCTATATGGCGACCAACAAAGTTGCAACTCCTGGCTCGACAGATCGGTAAGGGAGAGAATCGTGCGGGATTGCGGCAAGAACGGAGGGGATCTACTCCGGGTGGGAGGGCTTGCGGACAACCTGCAAGGACAGAGAGTCCGTCCCTCCCAGCAGAGAGGATGGCAATATGGGAGTCCAAAGACTCTGGAGGGAGGACCGGCGGCTAGGGTAGGGGATTTAGCTTTGATAATAAGTTGGTTCTTAAAATAACGTAGAATCTTATTATTGATAGGAAAAGGGGTTATAAATAACCCTTACATGAATCCTAAAATAGAAAATGCAAAAAAAAAAAAGGAAAGGAAAGATATAACACATAGAATCTCTAATTAATCAATTCATAAGAATTATTTAAAGATATAGGAAACAATACAAAATAGGAAAATAAATAAATCAAATCCAAGGAAATAAATCTAAAATAAAAAATAAATAAAGTTATATTAGAAAATAAATCTAATCCTCATAACTTTTAACAGGAATAAATTATTTTCTAATATAACTTCTAAAACAAAAGATTATGTAGATAGCAAGTTGTTGAAAAGATAAATAGAACTGCGTGGATACTTTGAGTAGGATCAGAATAGGGAAAGAGAGATGAAAATAGCGGGATTGCTAGGATCCTCCATGGAGAAGAAAGAGTGGTTCGCCTGGATATAAAGGTGAATGTAATAAAAATTTAATACAAAAATATTAAAAAGCAATGAAGCACGAACACCGACACAACACAATACGACAGCACGACATAATTGAAAAAAATAAGACATGACGTGTCATAGGCACGTTTTTCTTTTTAATTAATTATAAATATAAAATATATTTTTTTTCAATATTTTTTGTTAAAAAGATCACAAACACGAATTGTGCAAGAATAAAATTTAACTTCATAAATTTAATTTATATTATAAAATCTTTAGTTTATGAAAATTAATTTTTAAAATTAGATATAATATGTTTCAAAAGAATTGATCCAACTTATTTATAAAAATTTAAAAAATCTTATGATTAAAAAAGAGAAATTATTAATGCTCGGCTTCGATGAATATTGGATGCACCTTTGAGGCTCGATTTTTTAAGAATGTTAAAGGGAGCTTCAAAATGATGAGATATGGGACAGTTTCAACAATGAGGAATAATTAAAACAAGACGTATATTTATAATTTTCTAATTCTCATGTTCCATTTTATAGAAATCGTGTTAAGCTCAAGTCCAACGTAGTATTGAGGTGTTTCCCGGACGTGTATGGGCCTGAAAAATTTCAAACATATTTTGTAGTGTCGGAGGTGTGTCGGGGCGTGTCGGACAAAAATCGGTATCTGATACGCGTCCGACCCAAGTAAGACACATTTTTATAAGTGTCGGTGCTACAGTTGAAAAGTAAAGAAGAATTTCATTCATGCTTAAGATAAATGATAAAAATCTATTTAGGTAAAGTCGCCAAGCTTTCGATAGACAAGAACCACTAAGCTCCTACCAAAACTTACCTTCACAAGGCCACCTTTTTTCCAAAACAATAAACAATTTTTCTTACATGACACATTACATTATGTAGCCTCTTTGAAGATATCACATGATCACATTAACAATAAATTGATAAAATTTTGGATGGTATCTTTTGTTCATGTAAGCAAGCATAGAGTGGCCACTCCCTTAAAACAAGAAGCATTAATTGTACCTTGAAATCATAAGTCCCTTCTTTAAAATCATTTCTTCCTCTACAATTTATTCCTCTATGCTTTAGTTCTTTCTTGAAATAATTCCTTCATCAATAAAAATCTGAAATTTAAATGAATGTGGCCATGCATATTTAAGATGCACATAAAAATCCCATATTTTGCAGGACAAACTATATACCCTTTCTTATTTAATGATCAACGTATTATTATAATACCACCCAATACATAATAGCAAATAAAGAATCATTATAAAGGGTTAACCAAGCTTGATATTCAAATAATTATAAAGGGTTAACCAAGCTTGATATTCAAATAATTATAAAGGGTTAACCAAGCTTGATATTCAAATAATTATAAAGGGTTAACCAAGCTTGATATTCAAATAATTTCCCTGTAAATTCTTGAACTTTAGTTCTATATCATTTCTCTCCTTCGTGTACTCTTCATCCAATGAATTAACTTTGACAGTAT